TCTCAACTCTCAATTCTGGGAGTTGAAGTCCACTCATCTTAAAGTGGCCAAGTTTGGACAACACTGGTCTATGATAACTACTTTCACCTGATACTCCTGTAGATGATGAAGCAAGCTAGTTCTTTGTTACAAGACAGAAACCAATGATTTCAAATTATACAGAAGTGGAAATTGATGATGTTTATAATAGGGTTTGTTCAACAATGGACAGACGTCCTTTGACTGTGACCTGTTTTCCTTTGTTACAGTTTTTTAACCAAAGGATAGATAGCTATTTTGCTGAAATCGTAGGCAATGGGTGAGCCTCCTTCTATCAGCAAGCTTTGTGTCTTCCCACTTTAATGGAAAGTGAATCAACTTGAATTTGCTTCTTTCCACTTCATGAAACAGACAACTGAACGAAAAAACAATAACGGTCATAGCAACCTAATAGTGCAAGCAAAATAAAACAAAAATGATACATATAAATTAACAGCAATATAAACAGCCCATGAGTGATGGAAAATTCAAAGAAAAAAAATAAAAAGGAAATGAACAGCTGCATTAAAAATAAAGCAGCTATGGATAATTTGCCCAGATCGCTCAAAAGTTCTCTTCTTTTGCAACTCTAGATTAGTTCTTCCAGTGTTGTATCATGAATCTTTTGGGTATCTACTATGCATGAAGGGCCTTGATAAATTCCAAATACTGGGGATAGAAGAGTGTGTGCATCCATGAATAGCAATGACTGCTCCAAAGTTACATTAATCATTTGTAAATTTCATCCCTAACTATGGCAACAGAAGGACAAGCCCAAACTATATGAGTTAAGTGAGATGGGCGGTGTCTAAATTTGAAATATAAATAAAAAAATAAATGAATGTTTCCATTTTTGAACTGCTATTTCCAACAAGGTGATTATAATAAAAGGCAAAACTACTCTTACTAAGGAAGCTGTATTTCCAGGAATAATCTTCCTCCAAGCTGGCAGTCTTCAAATATCTTGGTTTTTGACTCCTTCAGCCCAACTCTTCTGTAAATACCAGAAACAAGTTCTTTTTTAAAACTCCTCTGTGGTTGTCATTTTTTTATAACCTCCACCTCCAACACCTTCAGTTGCAGCAAAATCTCTGCCTTGAGTCACCTCCTGTAGTTATCACCGGCAAAAGGATGGAAGATGGAGCCACTGTTTCTGAAGATGGTGGCTTGACAAGAAGCTCTCTAGAAATCTCCACCCTCCATGATGTTCTGACCATTTCCACAACTCAGGTATGTGCCCGGTGAAGTTTCTTAGCAGAGAGGTCATAAAGAACAGCTCTGCCTAAATAATACCTTTTGTGCAGTTAACAACTTTAACTCAAAGAAAGTAAGTTTATACACCCACTAGGACCACATTCATCCTGCATTGCCTCTCTGAGTTGACCTACTATAAAGCCACATCTGTTGAGGTCCCCTTATGAGCATTGATCATTTGGAGTTAACGTTCTGTTACAGCAACAATCGCAGTTATTGGGAGAAACTGCAGGCGCAGAATAAATAGCTCTTTAGAGATGTGCCTTCACCACAATTAGTGGAAAATATAGGGAAGGAATCACTGGGAACTGAAGAGTGAGATTATTGTGAATATTTTTTACTTTAATGAAAGCTTAAAGTAGTGTCTCAGGAGATCAGCCTTCTGGGTTGTTTGGCAGGCAAGAAGAAGGCTTGATGGAGTGTTTATTTCTTTTTTTCTTCAATGTCATATTTCTTTAATAATTACTTGGATAGTCTAGTCCCCAGATCATAGCTGTCACAGTGATTTCCTTCTTCTTTTTGTAAAAGAGGAGAAATTCTCCAAGCCAAGAAAATAAAAACCTCTGTATTATTCCTATAATACTTTTAAGCTGAGTATCCGAGAACAAGGAGAAGAGGAGATTGTTCCCTTCTGCCTGTTAGTTTTGGACAAGATGGAATTGAGTAGCATAACATTGAATCAGCTTTATGGGGGCTTCTCATCCAAGTCGGGCAAGGAGCGTAAAAATAGCAGCTCAAAACTGGTGGTTTCTTTTTATAAATCTGATTTGGCGGTGGCTCTCAAAGCCCAAGAGAGAACTTTCTGAACAAAATTGCTCCACTGGATTGGGCCAGAGGTCAATCTAATTTAGCAGTTGGCTTCTGACAGTGTCCAGACCGTCTGCTTTTGCTCCCTAGCAATGATTGTGTGCAGATACTGTGCCTCTGGACATCCATTCCCTTCAATGCCACTCTGTAGATGCAACATTTCAACTTAATGCTCAGTAGCCCTGGCTGTTGAAAGGCCAAGCTGTTTTAGTCTGTAATTGAATAGTCAAGTACCTTGTCATCCTTGTGAATGCTTCTCTATCTAGGATCATCCCACACCCCCTTTGGAGATGTCGCCTAACTCTCCTTTTCTCACGCCCTCCTGAAATAATCTATTTTTACAGCGTGTATATCCTACGCAGTGTTTTAATTATATTGACCACTAGGAGGCAGAATGCGAGCAGTTTCATCCTTATTGGGAATCATCAGAGGTAGGTGATGATGAGGCCGTCCGTTCAATCGTGTCCAGTTCTCAGTGATTCTGTGGACCAGCTCTCTCCACATTTTCCAATCTTGTATGGCTTCTTTCCGGCTTTTTTGCTCTGGTTGGTGTTGGCTGTGATAGGGTCTAGCCACTATGTTTTTTGGTGGCCTCATTTCCTTTTACCACTGACCATTCTGAGCACAACTACCTTTTCCAGTGAGTTTGACTGCATGACATGGCCGAAATAAGTAAGGCAGAATTTTGTGATTTTGCCTTCCAGTGATAAGTCTGGTTTTATACACTCCAGAACTTGCTTTTTTGTCACGTTTGCTGTCCAAGAAATGTGCAGGAGACTTCTCCCACACCACAGCTTGAACGAGTCAATTTTCCTCCTATCTATTTTTTTCATGGTCCAAAGCCAGATCTTATTCTACAGGGTTCAATCTCTCTCCCGGCAATTGAACTCATGGACTTTTGCACTCTAGATGACTGTATCCAGTGCATTAGTTTTAAGAGCTATCCAGGTCCTGGTGCTCAGCAATGTTACAGGAAGAGACATATAAAATCACCTTCCCTTAGGAGTGGACTGTATATATACTATTTTGATAGGTTCCTAAAATCCAGTGTTTCTTATTTCCCATAATTTTCTCTCTCTCTCATATGCCTGCAGGTTTCCAACCCTGTCCAGCACTGCAGCTCTCTGAGTTTAGAGGAGACAGACAGTGAAGGTGATCAGGTAAATACCTGCTTTTCCTGCTACTGAAGTTAATCTGCCTTGTAGCAAGACAGACCCTTGGTCAGCCTATTGTAGCACTGCAACAGAAGAGAATCTCTGTAGCTCAGGGTTGAACTGAGGAGTCCTTGGTGCTCTCTGAACTTGGTGGTTTCCTTGCAGACATTTCATTACCTGACTAGGTAACATCATTACTGCTGATAAAGTTATCTAGTTGGGTAATGAAAGATCTGTAAGCAAACAACCAATCTCAGAGAGTACCAAGGACTCCACTATCCTAAGGCTGTCCTGACTGGGAGGACTTTGTGAAGTTTCTTTTAACTGGAGAAGTCAGGACCTGAAGCCAGGCTCACTGCACCCAAAGCATATGTTCTGTTGCAGACTGCGTGTGGCAGTTTGTAAGTTTCAGGAAGGATCTAGACCCGTGTTTCTCAACCTTGGCAACTTTAAGATGGGTGGACTTCAGCTCCCAGAATTCCTCTGCCAGCATGCTCCTTATCCCCCTGTTCTGATAACGTAAATATGTGACATCATGGAATAGACATTTTAAAGAGTTAATTTGCTATTCTACCACTATTCACCATCCCCAAATAATACTTTAGGAAAGACTACATCCTATGTAGAAATGACCATTTTTTAATTGTTGTCAGACAAGTCAATTTTCTAGGTGGTCAACCCTGCCCAAAAGGAGAAATATTAGGAGACGGGAACAGTCTTTGGAGGCAGACAAACATTAAGCGCATCCCTCAATTATGTCATGGGAGATAAATGCATTGGGGGGAGAGGAAAGAAAACTCATCCTTTCTTTTAATGCCAAATTTATTCAAGGATTAATGCCAAATTTATCAAGAAATCACAAAAAAGTTCAGTTGCATTTTGGCTGTCTGAGCTTTTTGAAGAAATGGGAGGGGGTAAAGCTCATGTTCTGAAATAAATATGGGTAAATAACAAGAATGGAAGGATGATGAAGCAGCCATCGGGTTGAATTAGCATGCAGGAGAGCTTTTTTGTGGCTCCTTGAATAAGTGCTATCTTTTCTAGAAAAAAAAAACGGGAGGGCTAGAATACTTCTGGGCCCTCCATGGCACTCCGCTTCCCACCCCATGCAAAGGGAAACCCATCCCATTCACTGCCAAGACCAAAAGCGGATTCTTGGCTGCTTAATACGTTATTTGATTTTTGTCTGAATAGAGGAAGTTCTGCGCCCATCAGGTTCAAACTGTTTTCAACCCTAAGCATCAGATATATTTACAGTGGTTATATATTGCTGCACTTCCAGTAACTCCCGGCGGTTTGCAACATAGTGGTTTAAAAGAATGCCTAAAAGCATCACACGGTGAAGAAGGTAGACGAGAGCCAAAGCGCATTGATGTGTCTGCTTGTGTAGGTTGTTTCAGAATCTCCTTCTAAGCATCTCAGCTCACTTCGTCCGGGCAGTCCTGCCTCACTCCTCTGCCACGCGCTTCCAGTTGATTTCGATACTCCTGCTTCTCCCCTGGGCTGCCTGGATACCTCGGCGGCCAGGCACAGGATTGCCATGAACCCACGCAAGCAAAAGGGCCTTGCTAAGAAGAGCCATCCTCTTCCTGTAAGTACTGCTTGAAGAAAGATCCTTTGGAAAGAGAGAGATTCTCTGTTCTGACCCATCCAAGGGACTTCAGTTTCAGGAATATTCTTGGCCAGATGCGATCCAGCATGCATTGCAGTACGATGCAATGCAATCAGTTTATTTTGGCCTTGTTGTTGTTGTTCAGTCGTTAAGTCGTGTCCGACTCTTTGTGACCCCATGAACCACATC